CACTTTGGTCTAGGTAAGGACTACAGCATGGAGGTAAAAGTTAAAGCCCCTGCCCCACGGGTCCCAATCCTGATGTGTAGATTAAAAAGATGTAACTTTTTATCTAGGGTTTGAAAAAATGTGTGCTTTGTGTGTTACACAGCAGCATATGAAGGTTTTGTACTTGGCAGGAAGCCACAGCAAGTCCTTACACCTTGAGAAATGTATCTAGGCAATACTTGCATTCGTTAATTGCTGTTATGTGTTACCAATTGCTGGCTGTGCCTGTTTCATTTTTATGTTACTTGTGCTTTGTTTTAAATGATTTGTGAGTGTTTTTGAGGGTATTGAGGCTGAAAAATAGCATAGAAATGCTGATACAAATAATAAAGAAGCCTTGAGAAGCACATAGAAAATGTCTTTATATTTTTAGAACTTAGGTAAGATACTTCATCATCCACATTGACTATATGATTTGATTGATCAGCCTAATGGCTTCTGCTTTGACTTGAAAATAGAAATTACTATATTTAAAAAGAAGCCTTTCTCCTGTTTGTTCAAATGCCCTATGCAAAAATCCTTCTCTGTGTGATGAGAGAAAGGACCATGATCATTCTCTGGTCTCTCTCCCCCACTTCCTTCCATCCATCCCCATAGAGAGAGAGACAGGATAAAATGTGTGCGTCTGCGACTATTGTGGGAGCAAGGGGAGTATTGTATGCTACAAATCACTTGGCTGATAGTTTCCCCATGACTGGAAATCAGCCAAGTCATCCTACCTGCCATCTGCACAGGTATACTCATGCAGTGTGTATATCCCTTGATCCAGCATCCCAAACCCGGCGCCCTCCAGATGTGTTGTACACATCATTCTCAATCGGCATGGTGTATTGCAAGGTAATACTTCTGGCAGAGACCAAGTTAGGGAAGGCTGAATCAATCGCTCATCACTTCATATGTGAAGAATTTCCTGTGAAAAGTATTCTACTTGAGTTGGTTTGTATCTGTAGTTTTTGACATGTGATGGCTCTTTTCAAAGACTTGAAACAAGAACTTAGTATCATTTTCTGCTGTAGGTGGGATGGACAGAACCTCAGTTAATTCTGGTCTGTACAGTAGGACCCTTGTATCCATGCGGATTGGTTCCAAGCCTCCCAGTGGATGCCTGAAACCACAGACAATAGCAAGCACTATGCTATGTACAGTATATTTCTTTTTTTGCCAAAATTTCATTTTTCTTATGTCAGAATACAATTCTTTTCTTTGTCTATTCAAATGAGAATATTTGCTTATAGGAAGCATTTAGGACTTCTCTGTGGCAATTTATGACTTCTGTATGGCACTCTATGGCACTTCACGACTTCTCTTTCAGCCGAGGTCAACTGCAAACATGGCAACTGAGCCAGCGGATATAGGGGTCCTATAGTATTTTTAATAATTTATCTTTCATCTCCTCTTCCTCCAAAACATGAATTAGTTTTTCACATTCATATATATGTCCCAATTTTGTTATTGGTTTACAAATGGAGGAGTATTAGGAAAGTCCTATTACCTGTTTATTTGTAGCTGTTTCCATGTCTATAATATATTTAAATAAAAAAGCCCAGCTAAAGTATCCTAAAGCCGGAAAGAAGAAACTTCATACTTGCAGTATTTGAACATAAAATCAACTGTTTGTTTTATGATGCAATTCTGTGCATGCTTACCTGGGAGTTAGCCCCACTTACTAGTGAATAAGCATGCTTTGGCTGATTCACTCGTGTCATGCATGTGCTTATGGGTTATAGGGCAGCTAGGTCAATGGGCAAAGCTATTACTCTGATAAGGCTAGTCATTAAACTGAACAGCAGCTATAACAAATGGTTTGTTCATTTGTTTGTTTATAATGCTCCCTGGTTACATAGTTGTATGGTGTACTTTTCGGACCCACTGCTTTCAATGTACTCTTGTGTCCTCTCTCTGCAACTGTGTTCGGTCATGAAAGATTAGAACCATGGTTCAGATCAAACAGTTCACATGGGCTTGAATCATGGTAAGCAGCTCCAGTGCTTATGTATACATGTTACAGGGCTGGATTTTGTTAGCATCTAGCTTGGAGGAGGAAGAATATTTTATAGGAAATTTCATTAATGGGCAGACCCCATTTAGAGGAGTTGGTAAAGCACAAAGTCTTTCGGGGCATTACCAATCCAACATTGTCCTTAAAGATCAATCATTTCCTCTTCTAGAGATGCTGGTCTCAAAGCTGTGTGTGGCTGAATATCTCTGACAAGAGCAGGAGAGATTACAACTGTAAGCAGAGAACTGTGGTCATACTGGCACTAGATCCCTGTTGGTTTTTAATAAGTCAGAGGAAATGTTCCAAGCATAGAGATACCAGTCAGCTGTTTGACAGGGTGTAGCAATTTTGCTGCACAGAATTCTCCAGAGATTATGAGTCTGTATGCTGCAGCTCAACTAAGGTTCTGTTTACTGTGTTAAGAATTTTAGTGGAAGATCTAGTTTGTGATGCATGTTTGCATTCCTTTCCAAAAGGTTGATGGTAGATTCCTGAATAAAACCCCTAAAGCCATTTTAATGACTATCTGTTTGCATTTGTTTGTATTTTTAAGGAAAACATGTGCAGAGGGTCATATTTATGACTCCAGTGGTAGCCTATGCCATTTGTCATTTCTTTAATTTGTCATAATTTTCCTGAAAAAGGGGTGCCCACTTATGGCAGGTACATATACTACACTTTGCCAGGGTCCCTCACCTAAGACTCCTGAGCAAATTTAGCAGTCATGGAATAGAAGAGACAATCTCTGTGCCCACCAAATGCCCTTGGTGGCAAAAGGTGCCCTACATCCAATGAGGTAGTGGTAAACTTTAAAGTACAGGCACTCATCAGGACAAGCCCCATAGCCACATCCTCAGGAGAGTAGAAGAATGAATGTTGTACCTTTTCAACAAGTAGCAATTTTCATCTTCACCAGGAGCAGGTCTTTTGTAAAAGTTAATGGCCTTAGTGTCTCATTCAAGAATGTTGAGGTCTTCCTCTGAGCCATATCATTATCTTGCAGTTGCTCAAATCTGTACAGGATAGGCTGCTGGTTACTAGGAACAGGAGTTTCTCAGCAGCAGTGTCCAGAGTACAGATTCCCCTCCTCACTTGGTACCCACTCTACTTGTTGATGCTATGCTAAGCCTTTTTCATTTAATTGCTCTTTCTGAAATAAGCAGTTTATGGTTTGTCTTATCTACTGATCAGATCTCTGCTCAGCACAATGATAAGTTTGCTGTGGGGAGAGATAATATCCAGTGGATAAAGTAATGGCTATGGATCTGAGTGGACTAGTTTCAAATTTCAAGTAAGTGGGTGGGGTTGTATGTGGTCTTCAACAAGTTGCTTACTCTCACATTCAGTTCTTTGAGTCAGAAGCATTGATTCTATAGAGAAGTTTTATAGTTGACTGGGATGTTGCGTCAGCATGCTCATATGTGTAAAGCTCAGTGTTTCCCATCCATATTTGAATTATGTGTGCTTTGGAATTTGCAGGCCTAATCTCAAGCATTGGTGAGAAAAAGTCCTGAAGGCTACTGTCTATTAATTGCTTTAACATTTTGAGGACTCGTGTTGTGCAAAGTAAATGGCATCAGTTTTAGGTAGTTTGTTCATCCTAACAATGCTTTCCTCACCCATGGGGTGGAGAGAGGTTTGATCAGCAGAGACAATCCATGAAGTTTCCCATTTCCCAAAGTGCATCTAAACAATACAGGTGTAACTTAGTCTTTAAAAAAAGTGGGCACCAACTGAATATATATTTTTTTTCACAGTCTGAAAACTTTTTTTCTGATGTAAAAATGAAGTGCAACTCCAAATGTAAGCAATAAAAAGAGCACTCAAAGTTGGAAATCATTGAATTAGTGCATTATATATTTGCCTCCTTGTTAGGGTAAGTTTTTGACTACATGGAGTTTGACTTGTTTATTTGAGCCATCTAGAATTATCTACACATGGGAAAAAAGAGTTCAAAGAAATGCCATTTGATTCCTCCTAATTATATCAACTGATTATATGCATTTGCACTGTGAGAACTGAGGCAATTGACTACACAGGTCACTCCCCTCCTTCAGAGATGTTTTGTCTGTGGAATGCGGAAATTCTGGTACATTAAAGAGGGATTGTGAATATCATTTATTTTTGGAGAGAGAGAGACTTCAATAACAGTTTCTTCACCCCCCTCCACAAATCTTTTAATAACCATTTTAAAATGTCAAAGTTTGGTTCAGAGTGGACCCATTTTCCACACTTCTTGAAAGTGGACAGGTGAACATGCCCCTTCTAGAAACAACACTGTGTTATGACTATGCATTGTTACCCTAGCATCAATTGGGGAAATGCTGGTTGCCTCTATAGGCAGCCTGTGAAGACAGTCATCTTTCTTCCCTTCGGTGCCTTCCCAACAAAGCAACATTGTCTTGTAGACTCATTTTCAGGGAGAGGCATGATCACTCAGCCATTTTCAAAGCATGAAAACCAAGCTGGCTGGCACTTTAAATGCTTTTTAGAAAGAACAAAGGAAATTGAGAAATTGTTAGATAAAGAGCCTCCTACCCATAACATTTGCTACTGCCACAAACTTGTCATCCCCCATCCCAATCTTCAGGGGAGAGTAGCATCCTTTGAATGTACCAAAAATGTTAGATAGAAAATGTTATGTAAGCTTTACATATTACTAATATCAGTTCTTGAGAAACACAGCCTGCCCCAAGGTAATGAAATCCTAGGTGAGTCAATGTATCAAGGTGTTTGCCTTGAAATTATTTATGCTCATCAATGGAGGACAAGTACATCCAGTAAATTTGCTCTGCATCAATAGCCCAACTGTTCATCTCGGCTGTTGGCATGACTGTGAATAATTTATAAACATGTTATCCGAAACGGTGAAGAGGGTCATTAGCATTTTAATGAAAACAATATAGGCATTGTACTAAATCTTTGCATTCTGTTTTTCTTCTTCTTCCTTCTCTTCCTCCAGTAAAACAATTCCACCGAGTGCTTTGAAAACAGCTGACGACACAGGATAATGTGCTGACTGGCGCTATGGGCAGGCGATACCCAGGGGCTCACTATCGTCAAAGCAATTCATGTATGTATGTGATTCTTCTCCCTACTTGTCCATTTAGAAGCAAATCAAAACCCTATAGTGTATCTTGGCTGACTTTAGGTTTTACAATTGCAGTGCCTGCTTCCCCTGCCATATAAATAATGATTTATTCGTAATTCTTTATTGCAATTTCAAAATTACATGGCAGTAGTTTAAAAGAACAAATGGGGTTGCTTTTGTAACTTCTTCTAATTGGAGAACAAAAGCTTTGCTGTGTATTCATGGCTAATTTTGCTGTTGGAAATTCTAAAGTATTTCTATGCAGAGACCAAATTGGATATGTTAGCTCTTTATGTCTTTTAATCTTTATAAAATGTCACACTCCATGTATGTCACACACATCCATGTGTGTCACACACAGACTTGACTCCAGACTGTCTGTGTACACTTTGTCTTGAATATTTTTTAATGAAACTTATGGCCAAACGCAGTAAAATACAATCCAAAGTTTGCATGTCCTATACAACAATGACAGGCAACTTGTGGTCCTTCAAATATTTTGCTCTACAACACCCATCAGCTCTAGTCAGAATAACCACTGGTGAAGGAACATGGGAGATGTAGGCCAAAATATCTAGAAGGCTGTAAGTTGCCCACTGTTACTGCAGGGTGATAACTTATTCATCACGAAAAGAGAGGACAACATGTGACACAGATCTGCATAAATAAAATTTGAATTTATATGTATAGATGCATATTTAGAAATTATTTAAGTAGAAATACAATATATCTCCTCATGGTGGGGAAAGCTGTGACTAGGTGACCAGGGTACCTGGGGGCACCTTCAGTCCCCCAATTAGCCTTAAACTGGACTTGGACTCGACAGACAGAACTGACATGGCCACCCTAATTATTTATATTTATTTACAACATGTATATATTGCTCCACATCTAAGCAGATTCTGGAGTGTTCAGCACTAAAATGATAAAAAGGTAAGATATGTTATAAACAGAATATCAACAAAACCATGGTTGATCAGACAAGGAGGTTTTTCTGAAATTATGTCCTCAGGAGGTGTTGACAACTGCACAATATTGGTGCCTGCCTGAGCACCTGGGGTAGGGATTTCCACAGAAATGGAGCCACTGCACCAATACCCTTCTTCTACTGAGCAAAAGATTCCTGAAACTTGGATCTGGCGTTTCTTGTGCTGTCACATACAGGCACAGAGTGATTAGCTTTACAAGTTATCTAGAAGCAGAAGAAAGGAAGCCAAAGCAATTCTGCTACTTATTTTTGCCTGTGACTCTCCAACACAGTGAAATGCATAAACTCCTGATAAGCATACATCTTACTGCAAGTACCTTCTCAGACATCACACAGAAAGCATGTATGTTTTCTCCACCTATTTCACACAATTCAACTCAGAGAAGCAAACTTGTTTGACCCATTAACTATTTCCAGTACTGAATCCTGTTAGAAGTCAGCAGAATTGCAACATTCAGTTCTTTCTACATTTTTACAAAATGCTGTTCAGCAAAATATATACCTGGGTGCATTGGCACATGTGTTGCCCATTCTCTTGGTTCAGTGCTGCATCACAAATCTAGAAGAGAAGTACTTGAGAAAAGAAGGCATAATTCACTATGCTTCTTCCACACATTGGGTACAGCACCCATTATTTCTGATACTTCCTGTATCGCTAGCTGGAAGATCAATATGAGTTGAGTGCAAATACATTATGGGTTGCAAATATGAGGTGCACTGAATTAACCACACTAAGGTATTCCCCATACGTATATGTCCCTAGTTTAGCTGAGGCATGCGCTCTATTTAGCTTTCCCTTTCCAGTCTGAACTGTGCTTGATTATGCCTTGTATCTTCCTTGCTGAAAGTAAATGCTCAGGGAGCTTATCACAGTTGACCTTGCTTTGATTCCATCTCCTATTGAGGTCAGTTTTTGGTAAAAGGCTTAAATAGTTCTTTAAAGTTTGCAACCCATCCCTTTAATCTTCTTGACATACTAGCTGACATGTGACTGCCCCCGTGGCTACTGTCAGCGATAATCCACAAGCCTTCAGGCTTGACATATTCCACAGTTATGTCAAAGGATCTTCTGAGGAGCCTGGACATGAAATGTCCTTTGTGAATCCCCCCACACACATCAATTTTAGATTATTTTTCAAGTCTTGGAATTTTTCTGACGCCCCAGGCTAATAAGATAATGTCAGCTATCTTTCACAACTTTTCTTGCTAGTAGTGATAGCAACAGCACCATCTGTGGCTTCCCCACCATCTTTCCTTCACCAAAGAACTCTGACAGTCTGTTTCTACTCTCTGTGCTGCTCCCTAACTGTAGGCCTTTTCCTTGTCCCAAGCTCTGGAGATTTGCTTGGGCTTTTTAGTTAGGTTAAGGCTGTTAACAGGCAAGAAGTAGCTGTATTAGTATGAGAGCTAATAACCCAGCAAAGACCTGGGGGAAGTCTGAGGGCTTATATACAGTTTCTGATACAGTAGTTGCATCTGGGTGAGTTTCCCCAGACCTTACTACTGGACCCTGACTTCCATGTAGATGCCTGCTCCTAAGTAAACTCCCAGCCAAAGGGTCTCCTTGTAGCCAGTTGGGGCAATGACATTGTATGTCCCACATGCTTTGTGGCCATGATAAGCCATAGGCCAAAAGAGAGAGTCAGGAGGTACGGAATGGCTCAGGATGGGGTTGAAAGGTTTTTGGGGACCTCACCTGTGGCTTCCCTGCAGCCAGACCACACACATTGCCCCATATCTTCTGTGGTTGTTGTCCTTCCTAAACACACTAGGGAATAGTCCCCATCGAACACATTAAAACGTGCTTCCAAGTTAAAAATGCATAAACACTGACAGATTTCATATGATGCAACAATTCACCATCATGTGAACCCTGTCAGTGAGTCCAATCATTTGCTGAGTGTACTGTGGGTTGTTGTATCAACAAACAACCTGGAAAGTGCCATGGCTTATTCCCAGGATGCATTGGTGTGATGTACAAACAAACATGCCTGCCCTGTAACTTCAGAAGATATTGAACCTCAGACATTAAAGATGCCCAGTTCTAATGCCTTCAACATTCAGCCATAGCTGAAAGGGGTAAATACAACAGTCAGACAATAAGGAAACCATTTGAATGGTGGACAGAATAGATCATGTGATACAGCCTGATGTCATAGAAATGGTTTTTCATGTTTGCTTACCAATCAGCTGTTCTAACCTCTGTGTTGTAAGCTAGGTTTTCATCCCATCTCACAGTCAAGCTAACAGACTGTCCTTTTGCAAAAGCTCTTTATTTACCAAAATATAGCCAGTGAACTCAATCACCACAGAATGAGTCTCTGAGCATGCATAGAGTAGTTCATTGAACCCGATCTAGCAGCTACTTCCAGGAACCCTCCTTTTGAGTCTTTCTGAGCCCCATCCCTCTGGGAGGATCTTTATGGAAGTGAGCCCACCTTTTCCCCATATGCCAGCCCTCTAGTTGGCTATCCCTCCTTTCACAGTGCTGCATCAAGGGATCCAGAGTCATATCAGTTTTGCCTGACTCTGAGAACTCTTCTCTAGATCTTGGTTATTTCCAGAGCTTGTTTTGGTGCCTGGAGAGTGGCTGTGAAATAAGCTCCCCCGCTTCTTTCATCTCCAAATCTGAAGCCCCAAATTCCCAGGCCTCCTCCACCTCTTCCTCTGAGTCCCGATCGACATGACTGTGCGCCAAGATCAACTGCCCCACTCTGTGACTTCCTCTCTCCAGCAGCTGGGTGGGTCCTTTCAGAACAATATGTGGAAAGGGCATTTGTATATAAGCAGAAATAGCATGGCCACGATATGGATGGTAGTTTCTCAGAAAGTTATTTTGGGGAACTAATGAATGGCAAGTACATATCTATGTACATGTAGTGCCTGTTGGGGATGGCATTAGAGAGCATTTGCCCAATTACATTTTTTGTATCCTGTCATACTTTCTAGTGAAATGGGTTTTGCAGGATTTTGCATCAGGCTACCCTTTAGCAAAGGTGAATGCAGCCTACAGAAACACCACCAGTTCCGTGCTTATAGATGCATGCCTTGAAGAGGGCCTTTGTGGAATAAAACAGTTTTACTCAGATAAATACCTAAAGCTTTCACTTCAACAAAAAAGAATCCTTGTCACTAGTCCCAAAGGTGGCAAAGAAAGGTGGACAATATTTGGTAAAATCTGTGAATCAGAGAAATGCCTTGATAACCAGATCTCAAAACCCAAAAGATGCTAGGGATAAAAGGGTTGAGATTTAGTGCATTATTGCATTCTTCACCTCTCACCATGACTGGTGGAAACAAAATAACTATGTAAATAAGTATAAATTCTGTGATTTATACCAGTTACAGAATATATACATTTTGTGACAATAATTTTATATCATTATACAGATGAAACCCAAAGTCCTGAATTTATTCCATGTTATTATTGTGATTTATATAAGTCAAGTGGAAGCAGATGATAGTAGGGAAATAGAGCAAATACATTTTATTCTGTAGCTGCATTTATATGGTTACTGTGCTGTCAATAAAGGATTAAGTCTAGTAACAGTAGCAGTTAATAGAAGCTGCATTATCAAAAGCGGTTCCCCAGAATCTGCTATCAATTTGCCATTGCTGGACAATTAGTGCTTATAATCAGGCCCCTCCAGGCCTTGCTTACTATCCCATGGGCTCATGCTATTGCCAAAGCAGAAGTGAAAGATAACCCAAATTATGAGGTGGTACATAGAGCTGTGATAGTATATATAGGTTGTACTTCACAAGCTGCAACCTTTCTCTTACACTTCATGTTAATGGCCATGCTTATTTTTTACTTGGTTTATTTTACCTCTAGTTATAGCTTTGGAGAATGCTGTAGCTTTCCAAAAGGGGAATGGTATAAATAGTATGATATATCAAGAAATAAAAGCTTTGGTGATTAGGTTTTGGAATTTCCTGAGAGCGATTCAAAGAGAAGACATAGATGTCTGCTTCATGCTTATTTTAATTTAAT